AAATACTGTAGTAGTTCTGTCTTTTAAATACTGTAGTAGTTCTGTCTCTTGTATACTGTAGTAGTTCTGTCTCTTATATACTGTAGTAGTTCTGTCTCTTATATACTGTAGTAGTTCTGTCTTTTAAATACTGTAGTAGTTCTGTCACTTATATACTGTAGTAGTTCTGTCTCTTGTATACTGTAGTAGTTCTGTCTCTTATATACTGTAGTAGTTCTTTCTCTTAAATACTGTAGTAGTTCTGTCTCTTATATACTGTAGTAGTTCTGTCTCTTGTATACTGTAGTAGTTCTGTCTCTTATATACTGTAGTAGTTCTTTCTCTTATATACTGTAGTAGTTCTGTCTCTTATATACTGTAGTAGTTCTTTCTCTTAAATACTGTAGTAGTTCTGTCTCTTAAATACTGTAGTAGTTCTGTCTCTTAAATACTGTAGTAGTTCTGTCTCTTATATACTGTAGTAGTTCTGTCTCTTAAATACTGTAGTAGTCCTGTCTCTTAAATAATGTAGGAGTTCTGTCTCTTAAATACTGTAGTAGTCCTGTCTCTTTTATTCTGTAGTAGTTCTGTCTCTTATATACTGTAGTAGTTCTGTCTCTTATATACTGCAGTAGTTCTGTCTCTTAAATACTGTAGTAGTTCTGTCTCTTATATACTGTAGTAGTTCTGTCTCTTAAATACTGTAGTAGTCCTGTCTCTTAAATAATATAGTAGTTCTGTCTCTTAAATACTGTAGTAGTTCTGTCTCTTAAATACTGTAGTAGTCCTGTCTCTTAAATACTGTAGTAGTTCTGTCTCTTATATACTGTAGTAGTTCTGTCTCTTATATACTGCAGTAGTCCTGTCTCTTAAATAATGTAGTTGTTCTGTCTCTTATATACTGTTGTAGTTCTGTCTCTTAAATACTCTAGTAGTTCTGTCTCTTAAATACTGTAGTAGTCCTGTCTCTTAAATACTGTAGTAGTTCTGTCTCTTATATACTGTAGTAGTTCTGTCTCTTATATACTGCAGTAGTTCTGTCTATTATATACTGTAGTAGTTCTGTCCCTTATATACTGTAGTAGTTCTGTCTCTTAAATACTCTAGTAGTTCTGTCTCTTAAATACTGTAGTGGTTCTGTCTCTTATATACTGTAGTAGTTCTGTCTCTTAAATACTCTTGTAGTTCTGTCTCTTAAATACTGTAGTAGTTCTGTCTCTTATATACTGTAGTAGTTCTGTCTCTTATATACTGTAGTAGTTCTGTCTCTTATATACTGTAGTAGTTCTGTCTCTTATATACTGTAGTAGTTCTGTCTCTTATATACTGTAGTAGTTCTGTCTCTTATATACTGTAGTAGTTCTGTCTCTTAAATATTCTAGTAGTTCTGTCTCTTAAATACTCTAGTAGTTCTGTCTCTTAAATTCTGTAGTAGTTCTGTCTTTTAAATACTGTAGTAGTTCTGTCTCTTATATACTGTAGTAGTTCTGTCTCTTATATACTGTAGTAGTTCTGTCTTTTAAATACTGTAGTAGTTCTGTCTCTTATATACTGTAGTAGTTCTGTCTTTTAAATACTGTAGTAGTTCTGTCTCTTATATACTGTAGTAGTTCTGTCTTTTAAATACTGTAGTAGTTCTGTCTCTTATATACTGTAGTAGTTCTGTCTCTTATATCCTGCAGTAGTTCTGTCTCTTATATACTGTAGTAGTTCTGTCTTTTAAATACTGTAGTAGTTCTGTCTCTTATATACTGTAGTAGTTCTGTCTCTTATATACTGTAGTAGTTCTGTCTCTTAAATACTGTAGTAGTTCTGTCTCTTAATATACTTAGTAGTTCTGCTCTTATATATACTGTAGTAGTTCTGTCTCTTGCATACTGCAGTAGTTCTGTCTTTTAAATACTGTAGTAGTTCTGTCTCTTATATACTGTAGTAGTTCTGTCTCTTAAATACTGTAGTAGTTCTGTCTCTTAAATACTGTAGCAGTTCTGTCTCTTAAATACTGTAGTAGTTCTGTCTCTTAAATACTGTAGTAGTTCTGTGTCTTAAATACTGTAGTAGTTCTGCCTCTTAAATAGTGTAGTAGTTCTGTCTCTTAAATACTGTAGTAGTTCTGACTCTTAAATACTGTAGTAGTTCTGTCTCTTAAATACTGTAGTAGTTCTGTCTCTTAAATAGTGTAGTAGTTCTGTCTCTTAAATACTGTAGTAGTTCTGCCTCTTAAATAGTGTAGTAGTTCTGTCTCTTAAATACTGTAGTAGTTCTGACTCTTAAATACTGTAGTAGTTCTGTCTCTTAAATACTGTAGTAGTTCTGCCTCTTAAATAGTGTAGTAGTTCTGTCTCTTAAATACTGTAGTAGTTCTGCTCTTAAATAGTGTAGTAGTTCTGTCTCTTAATACTGTAGTAGTTCTGACTCTTAAATACTGTAGTAGTTCTGTCTCTTATATACTGTAGTAGTTCTGCTCTTAAATAGTGTAGTAGTTCTGTCTCTTAAATACTGTAGTAGTTCTGCCTCTTAAATAGTGTAGTAGTTCTGTCTCTTAAATACTGTAGTAGTTCTGACTCTTAAATACTGTAGTAGTTCTGTCTCTTAAATACTGTAGCAGTTCTGTCTCTTAAATACTGTAGTAGTTCTGTCTCTTAAATACTGTAGTAGTTCTGTGTCTTAAATACTGTAGTAGTTCTGCCTCTTAAATAGTGTAGTAGTTCTGTCTCTTAAATACTGTAGTAGTTCTGACTCTTAAATACTGTAGTAGTTCTGTCTCTTAAATACTGTAGTAGTTCTGTCTCTTAAATACTGTAGTAGTTCTTTCTTTTAAATACTGTAGTAGTTCTGTCTCTTATATACTGTAGTAGTTCTGTCTTTTAAATACTGTAGTAGTTCTGTCTTTTATATACTGTAGTAGTTCTGTCTCTTATATACTGTAGTAGTTCTGTCTCTTAAATACTGTAGTAGTTCTGCCTCTTAAATACTGTAGTAGTTCTGTCTCTTAATACTAAGTAGTTCTGTCTCTTATATACTGTAGTAGTTCTGTCTCTTGCATACTGCAGTAGTTCTGTCTCTTAAATACTGTAGTAGTTCTGCCTCTTAAATACTGTAGTAGTTCTGTCTCTTATATACTATAGTAGTTCTGTCTCTTATATACTGTAGTAGTTCTGTCTCTTGCATACTGTAGTAGTTCTGTCTCTTAAATACTGTAGTAGTTCTGTCTCTTATATACTATAGTAGTTCTGTCTCTTATATACTGTAGTAGTTCTGTCTCTTGCATACTGCAGTAGTTCTGTCTTTTAAATACTGTAGTAGTTCTGTCTCTTATATACTGTAGTAGTTCTGTCTCTTAAATACTGTAGTAGTTCTGTCTCTTAAATACTGTAGTAGTTCTGTCTCTTAAATACTGTAGTAGTTCTGTCTCTTAAATACTGTAGTAGTTCTGTCTCTTAAATACTGTAGTAGTTCTGTCTCTTAAATACTGTATGAGTTCTGTCTCTTAAATACTGTAGTAGTTCTGCCTCTTAAATACTGTAGTAGTTCTGTCTCTTAAATACTGTAGTAGTTCTGTCTCTTAAATACTGTAGCAGTTCTGTCTCTTAAATACTGTAGCAGTTATGTCTCTTAAATACTGTAGTAGTTCTTTCTTTTAAATACTGTAGTAGTTCTGTCTCTTATATACTGTAGTAGTTCTGTCTCTTAAATCTGTAGTAGTTTCTGACTCTTAAATATCTGTAGCAGTTCTGTCTCTTAAATACTGTAGCAGTTATGTCTCTTAAATACTGGGTAGTTCTTTCTTTTAAATACTGTAGTAGTTTGTCCTGTTATATACTGTAGTAGTTCTGCTCTTAATACTGTAGCAGTTCTGTCTCTTAAATACTGTAGCAGTTCTGTCTCTTAAATATTGTAGTAGTTCTTTTTTAAATACTGTAGTAGTTCTGTCTCTATATTACTGTAGTAGTTCTGTCTCTTAAATACTGTAGTAGTTCTGTCTCTTAAATACTGTAGCAGTTCTGTCTCTTAAATACTGTAGCAGTTCTGTCTCTTAAATACTGTAGTAGTTCTGACTCTTAAATACTGTATGGGCCAACAGGCCTGCTGCAGTGTTCCTCTTTTCTTATGTTCCTATGTTCTTAGTAGTTCTGTCTCTTAAATACTGTAATAGTTATGTTTCTTAAATACTGTAGGTAGTTCTCTCTAAAATACTGTAGTTAGTTCTGTCTCGTGAATAGTAGTTCTCTTTTTCAAATACTGTAGTTCTGTCTCTGAAGTAATAGATCTGTGTCTTAAATCATAGTTTTGTCTCTTATACAGTCATTCTCTATGTCTGGTGGCACAGCTCTCGCTTCACATATTGAGGGGTCTGGGTTCGATTCCCGGCGAGGATAGAAACATTGGGCGTGTTTCCTTACACCGGTTGTCTATGTTCACCCATCAGTAATAATGGGTACCTGAGTGTTAGTCGACTGGTGTGGGTCGCATCCTGGGACAAAATTGACCTGATTTGCCCGATATGCTCTGCATAACAAGTGTCTTTCTATATAGTAGTATGTCATTGATGTCAGATAGGACACAGGTATACCTTGTGCAGGTACTTATAATAAATAAGATATTATTATTATTATTTAGTGGCAGTTATGGCTCATAATCAATAGTTATTCTCTCTCTTATACAGTAATTCTCTTTCTTTCAAGGAATTGTTTTTTCTCTTAATAAGTAGCTCACTGTAACTTCAAGAGCACCTCTCTTTCTTGCCCACAGTACCTTTGTCTTCTCTGCTTCATGATGAGTCAGAGTAGAGGAGCTCAGTTTAGGTTAGGTTAGGTAAGGTTTGTCAGGAAACAGGACAAGTGTTTCCTGACGCAGGTCTTAGTTTTTAAAATCACAGATTCAATAGGTTTACATCTGTACGAGCTATATATGTGAATACTCACAGTTTCTGATAAATTGCATGATTTATGAGGTTTAAAAATCACACACAAAAAAACAGTTTAGTTTTATTCATACGTTTATTTTGTACTCTAGTAATCACAGTTATAAAATATGGAGAGATGTTTCTTATATACATTTATTTACAACATGTGTTAATATATTCATTATATAAATGGAGGGTTTAATAACGCTGGTGAAGACCTACATTAACTTACACACTGACCAGCTCAGCCTCTTAACAGCTAATATTACTTAAACGACTAGTTTATTGTGCACTCATCCTGGGGTTCTCTGGAGGGTTATGCCTTGATAATGCTTAAAGCATTTTTATCCAAGAACCATGAGTAATTTTCTCCCTTAGATTATTCCTGACTGCCTTATGTTCCCCAGGAGCTATAATACTCCCAGTGGCTGAGAGTTTCCCCATGAATATAATAATAATCATCCCAGGTGCATGAAGCTGCTTTACCATACCTCACTGCGAAACTTGTATATTTACTAATACAGATCTATTTATTTCAGAGATTGCAATATCGTCTTGTGGTATCAAAGTAATCTGCATGATATAAAATGTTGATACAATCTCAAAATTTCAGATATCACTAACAATTAAGTAATCTGCAATTTACTGTATCGTGCAATAAAAAATTACGGTCTCGTCCATAACTATGTATGTATCCACACTTCTGCAGTGTTTATCGCTAAGTACTCCACACATAGTAAGCTGCCAGAAGTACTTGTCGCCTCTTTTTGTCAGTGAGAGTATCTGGTTGTTTATGGATGATATTGTTACCTCGATACTAGTCTTGCTTTACCTAATTGATTACAATGAAGAAAGAATGAGTTTCTATCTGCACTCTTTTTCACTTCTGTTAATTCACTTGATGGATATTTTCTTCTATAATATTTAATTTTAAAATCGTATTTTTTTTCATTTATTGTTAGATAATATTTTATAAAAATATGTTTCCGTTGCTAGAACGTCTATTGTTTATTTAGGTCTCTTCTTCAGATCTCCATAAAACTTATGTTTTCCAATGAACCAAATTCTTTGTCTTCTACTTTCCTTAATAATTCCAGTTGCTCGACTCTTCTCTGCCAGCCGGGCTGTGCTTGTGACTTCTCGGAATCGATCATAATATCGATGTATTCCACTGATGATAGAGGGTTTGGCTTGAGAGCAATTTCAGACAAGCGTTCAAGCGACTTCTTCACTGATTCAATCGTCTCTAGAACCTCCAGCTGAAGTGAATTAAACTCATCTTGAATTTCTAAATACAGGTGCTCTGCTGGCAGACTTTGTTGAGCTTTCTGATAGCGCTTCCTCAGTTCATCAGTAGTTTTGTTCCTCTGCACCATTTGATAAACATCCTTGAATGGGAAGTTCTTGTGCATCGACCTGTTGCACTTTTGGGGGCAAACGAAGCAATCAGTATTTGTTGTTGCCCAGCAATTATATTTCGTAGTATCGTCAGCGAGAGGGAAATTTTCCTGGCATGTTCTGTTGCACAGTTGGCACTTTGTTATGTACTGGCCAGGTGGTATCTCAACTTGAATACATACTTCTTCTTTCACAGTGTAAGTTAAGTTATTATTGTTGTCTATGTCAGTTCTGTGCATATATACTACTGCTTTTTCTTTCTTTAATTTTGCCAGAGCGTTTAGACCAGCCAGGATTTCTGAATGCTTCCCCGCGATGTAAATTTGTAGCTGACCTTGTTCATTATGAACATAATTAGTCAAAAAAAGGTTTCTACTCACAGCTACATTTAGCTGTTTCAAAAACGCATTGAAGTTAGTTTCTCCCATCTGCCAGAACATTTCATCAAAATTACAGTTAATCTCCTTTTCGTAACTCTCATCTTCAGTAGCAGAACTTCTAACTACCTCACTGTTGCTAGCAAATAATGCAGAGTTATTAAACTTGAAGCATTTTTTGTATGGGATACCGGCTTCTTTTATTCCACTGAGAACTTGAGGTTGTTGCCCGTCAGCAAAAGTGAGTAACAGGAAAATGTTATCCTTAAAAGTCTTGCCAAATAGGGAGAGGATCTGGTCAAAAAAGAAGGTGTGTGCTGGAGTTAGCCGCGGTAGTGACGACTGAACCACTAGTCCTACACCATCAATATGATCAATACCACCAGTACCTTTAGTCGTGAATAATTTGTATAACTGATTAATGATTTGCTTGTCTCGCATCACTCCTGAGGTGTCACCAAACCCTGGAGTGTCAATTATGGTCAGGGTGTGAGGGTAGTTGGAGTCTTCTTGATGATGAATAGTGTAAAAAGTGATGCTATCGGTGTTATTGTCAGATATTAATTTGAAGCGGAAATCATCTTTCCAGTTAACACCATATATGTGGTTAATGATGCCATTGATCAGAGTTGTCTTTCCTGATCCTCTCGCCCCGACTAGTAAGATGACTTTTTCTTTAACATTATGTGTAGGTGTTCCAATTTCGTACTTCCTTATCAAATCTTCGTCTTTACAGATAACCAATTTTGGCTGAAGCGTGTAAATGCAAGGAGTTCCGACATGAACATTATTTGATGCAGCACATAATTTTTCTTTCAATATTTTGCTGTTCTCAGATTTTATAATACCATTTTCAGTCTGTACAGACATGTGATCACTGGGGTCGCTATCCACACTACATCCTGCAGCACCACAATGAGCAGCTACCTTGAATTTAGGAACATCATTTGCTGTAACTTCCGCCCTGTAAGAAAGTTCATCTGCATTTATTGTTGCTACTGTAATCCATTTGTTTGATTTTTCCTCCAACTGTGTTAGTATATAATGATGTATGTTACATTGTGAAGCAATGCATAGTGGTTTTGACCACTGTATTTCCGCAGTTGTTGGCGAGATTTGCCACACCTGTGGTTTTCCAGGAGGACTGGTTGGTCTAGTGTAGACTGTGGCTGTGTCACTGGTAGGACCCTCACCAGTTTCACATCTGCTCCGTACACGCACCTGGTAAGCACAATTGGCCTCAAGGTTTGGAATAATGAAGCTACGAGCATCGGGACCTGTTGTAAAGCTCACAGTGAGTCTGTCTGTATTGGCTTGTTGACAACTTATTTCATATTTTTGGACAGTTGAAGCCCCATATTCTGGTGCTGTCCAGTAAATGGTGATACTATTATGAGTACTTTCCTCAGTGTCAGCGTGAGGCATGCCAGGTGCAGAAGGTAGTTCATAATTCTCACATATGAGACGGCCACGTCTGTAACACTGTATATGAGCCTGACAGTTTAACGTATTAGAAAAGTCCACTGCCATTGCAAAGGCAAGTCCAGATCTTCCTTTATTAGAGACAAAGTAATTTCTAAATAGTACGGTCTTCTCCATCATGGACATATTATCATCCATGCAATTTTTCGATGAGGTGTCATCCAGGTTTTTCTTGTTGTCTATATGGTTACTTTCAGGATCATATTCATTTCTGTTATACATTTCCATTTTAGTAAGATGAGAGCTATTTTGTGGCAAAAGAATTCTGAAGCAGAGAATGTAGTCATTCTCTGGACTCAAGATCAATGATTCTAAATCACCAGGTTTCGTGGCACACTTTATCTCCGACAGTGTTTTGGTATATTCATTTACAAGTTTTACAAGTTTTTCCTTATCTTGAACCCAAGTGTCTAATTCATGGTAGCTGAATGGAGATGTCTCATTCTTCCGGAGAAGATCTGCCAAATGGGACTCCTCGACCCCACCGCCTCTGATGTTGGGTAACAACACTGACAGTTGTCTTTTGAGTTCACACTTGTGAGTTGTAATTAGTGATTTAAATTTAGATATTTCCTTTTGGAAGGCGCTAATTTCCTTTAGAACAGAAGAATTATATAAATCATTGCATCTGACAATCAGTTCATGGAACTCTTCAAAAACTTCTTCAATCTTACAAGTCAAATTTGCTTTAATATCACGAACTAATCTACTGGCTCTATCATCCAGAAGGGCTAGAGGATACAGCGTAACTTTGATTGGCACAGCCTTTTCTCCTTCCTCTCCTAACAGCTTCGGTAATTCCTCATAGATGCGAACAGCATCTTGGTAAGAGCAAGGATTTTCTGGTAGCCGAAAATCTCCATTAAATTTGCAAGTAAAATTCTCCACTTTTTCATTTTCACTTTCGGACATATCCATATTCACTTTACTCTTAATTTTGAGGAATGGTATTTTTTTCACCATGCAATGCAAATCACCATCAACCTCTTTAGTATGTGAAGAGGAGGAACGATCTTTCTCAAGAACAAAGAAAGCTTGAGCTCCATAAAGTATCCCAGTGACGACATGCGTGCCAGTCCCATGATTAAATACCCCTGGATGTTGTACTTTACTCTGACCAAGTTGTTCCATCGTCATCGTCTCCAACTTTGTGGTGCACTTGTACTGCAAAGTAACTCTTTCTTGCTTGTTAGAAGACTTCCTATTTTGTAGGTACTTCCCAGAGCCAGACACATCTAGCAGATCTCCGAGGAAACTGAGCTTCAAGTTGGCCCCTATTTCAAGAGCTGAGGCTTTGTCTTCCAGAGAGTCATTAGTAATTATGGAAAAATCTGAAGTTTCATGTGGCTGAACAACTTTTTCTTCAAGTGTTGATTTGTCCCAGAGAGTTATTCCCTGTATTAACTGGTCGTTCCTACAGTCATAGAGCATTCCAAGGTGGAAAGGACGACCAAGCGCAGGGACGCAGAGGGTTGTATTACTTGTAGGAATCATCTTTATCACTGTTGTTATTTAGGTGAAGTAATCAGAAAAAGGAACTTGTTGATGGTTCTGACACACTACTGAGGTAGTGACGAAAGTGTTTTCTTGATGGACCTATTATGGAAAAGACAGCGGCGCTGCTGAAGTTCCAGAAACATAAATCTGGCACTGATCTAGGAGTCTTCTGACGTTCCTAACACAGTAATCAGGCACTAGTCTAGGAGTCTTCTGACGTTCCTGACAGAGTAATCAGGCACTGACCTAGGAGTCTTCTGACGTTCCTGACACACTAATCAGGCACTGACCTAGGAGTCTTCTGACGTTCCTGACACACTAATCAGGCACTGATCTAGGAGTCTTCTGACGTTCCTGACACACTAATCAGGCACTGATCTAGGAGTCTTCTGACGTTCCTGACACTAATTAGGCACTGACGTGGGCTTCTTTTGACGTTCCCAATACACAAATCAGACAATGGCCGAGGAGCCTTCTGACGTTCCTGACATACAAATGAGGCGCTGACTTAGAAGTCTGCTGATGGTTCTGACACACTGATCAGGCTCTGACATGGCAGTCTTCTGACTCTCCTGCACTACTGAGGCAGCAACATGCAGCTCTGAAATGTAAAATACCAAATTTAGGCAAATGTATTTATTAGATGAATTATTTTTTTAAATCTATTTATGCATAAATTCATTATATTTTTTACTTTACTAATTTAATCATGTAAAGTCTAAATTGTACTCCTCACCTAATAAAAAACTTATATTGGACGTTGTAGGGGAAATTTTAAGAGCTGTTAAGTCGATACTATTATTTTAATTCTAAAAAAAAAATAATATGAAACTCCTGTGGATTCCAGACAATTTAGTCCACCAATCAGTTTCTTAATTGGTTCATGCTAATTTAAAGGTTCAGTTGTGTAGGTGATACTGTGTAGCGCTTCCCGCATGAACCATAACACTAGTAGAGTCCTGCACAACTCACACTGATTCTAAAATAAGCAAAATAATAATATATAGTGCCATCTACACAGCCGACAGTGACCTGAGGTCAACACCAGAGTGACCTGACCATTAGTACCCTCTGTCAGTCTAAGGCTTATTAAACTCATGGAAAGCACTAAACCAGTTTGGGTCATACAGGGATTACCACTCTCCCTAGAGGTGGATATCCGCCCTGGTCTATAATGCAAATTTCTATAACAAAATACTATTTCATTTTCACTGATACTTGACAAGTGTCTTATTAACTGTGTCCTCCCTGTCAGAGGACAGGATATATCTAGACGCTGCTGAAGTTAGACTCTTGATCAAATTATTATTATAAACCCGTAGGATTATACAGTGCCTGTGGGGGGGGGATATGGAAGGTATTCAGGCTTAATCCAGGGAACTGGAGCACAGATCCAATTCCCTAGATCAAGAGCCACTCACCAGCGTCAAGGAACCTTCCTTGAGGAGACTCTTAATCAAAGGAACTGCAGGTATCCTTTCTTTCCTTGGATTAAATGTAATTACCACCCATTCCCCAACCCATGTGAGATCACAGCTTCATCTCTCCCCTATGAATATAACATTAAGTACAATTCTCACCTCACCTCTCAGCCAGCAGGATTGTCAGTCTGGACGAGCTGGCTGGGTTAATACAGGCGTCACTAATAGTACACCTCGAGTATCCTCGCTACCCTCAACACTGAAGACTCCGGTATAGCACCTCCTTACCCTCAACGCCAGAGGGACCAGCTGTGCACTGAAGCTGAGTGCCAGTGGACCGAGCTTATATGCCCCAAAAAAAATCCAGTAACCGCTTCCTGACGGGAAGTCAGATAATGCGTGTTTTCGTTTTCTGATGCGATTCTTTCAGTTTATGAACATTCCCGACCTATCAGCGGAAGTCCCTCGATGCCGATGAAGGGCTCTTGATCCACAAAAACGAATCTACCTTTCCTCACTTTGGATCGAATCTGACTGTCTCCCATTACCCTAGTCCTGTGTGGCCCCTACAGGTTTTAAGCATATTTTCACAGGGAGTGCTGTGGGTGTGCAGGGACTGTCGTGGGTGTACAGGGACTGTCATGGGTGTACAGGGACTGTCGTGTGTGTACAGGGACTGTCGTGGGTGTGCAGGGACTGTCGTGGGTGTACAGGGACTGTCATGGGTGTACAGGGACTTTCGTGTGTGTAAAGGGACTGTCATGGGTGTACAGGGACTGTCGTGGGTGTGCAGGGACTGTTGTGGGTGTGCAGGGACTGTCGTGGGTGCGCAGGGAGTGCTGTGGGTGTACAGGGACTGTCGTGGGTGTACAGGGACTGTCGTGGGTGTACAGGGACTGTCGTGTGTGTACAGGGACTGTCGTGGGAGTACAGGGACTGTCGTGTGTGTACAGGTAAGGTTAGCCCAGACTAAATTTAAATAAATAAGGTCGCGATATACCACAGCAAATCACCTAAAACAAAGATTCCCAACTGTTCCATAAATGTCTTACTAGATAAATTATATTTAACCCTGATGCATCAATAACAAAACTATTGATCCAAATCATATTAACATTCACACTGGTGTTGACATCATCATCAATCTTTTTCAACATTCGTATAAACTAAATACATCTTCTACCCCAATAAAAATGTTATACCAAATTATTATACCAGATCTCAAAATATCATAATTCATCCATCAAATTGTTATAGTATTTAAATGTCAAATATAGAGAACTATAGCATCTCAGTCTAGTAATTATAAGTTAAGGTTGCTAGAACTGCTCAGTATAACTAAACGCTCTATGTAAGTTACTTTATATAGATATTGAACATATAAAGATTTGTTTACAATGTGTGATTACAGTTATGATTTATTAAGTACAAAGAAAGCAACTATTATGCCGGGGCATGATAGCAGCCACTATTATGCCGGGGCATGATAGCAGCCACTATATTAGGCCTGGGGCATGATAGCAGCCACTATTATGCCTGGGCATGATAGCAGCCACTATTATGCCAGGGCATGATAGCAGCCACTATTATGCCTGGGCATGATAGCAGCCACTATTATGCCAGGGCATGATAGCAGCCACTATTATGCCTGGGCATGATAGCAGCCACTATTATGCCGGGCATGATAGCAGCCACTATTATGCCTGGGCATGATAGCAGCCACTATTATGCCTGGGCATGATAGCAGCCACTATTATGCCTGGGCATGATAGCAGCCACTATTATGCCTGGGCATGATAGCAGCCACTATTATGCCTGGGCATGATAGCAGCCACTATTATGCCTGGGCATGATAGCAGCCACTATTATGCCTGGGCATGATAGCAGCCACTATTATGCCTGGGCATGATAGCAGCCACTATTATGCCTGGGCATGATAGCAGCCACTATTATGCCTGGGCATGATAGCAGCCACTATTATGCCTGGGCATGATAGCAGCCACTATTATGCCTGGGCATGATAGCAGCCACTATTATGCCTGGGCATGATAGCAGCCACTATTATGCCTGGGCATGATAGCAGCCACTATTATGCCTGGGCATGATAGCAGCCACTATTATGCCTGGGCATGATAGCAGCAACTATTATGCCTGGGCATGATAGCAGCCACTATTATCCTGGGCATGATAGCAGCCACTATTATGCCTGGGCATGATAGCAGCCACTATTATGCCTGGGCATGATAGCAGCCACTATTATGCCTGGGCATGATAGCAGCCACTATTATGCCAGGGCATGATAGCAGCAACTATTATGCCTGGGCATGATAGCAGCCACTATTATGCCTGGGCATGATAGCAGCACTATTATGCCTGGGCATGATAGCAGCCACTATTATGCCTGGGCATGATAGCAGCCACTATTATGCCTGGGCATGATAGCAGCCACTATTATGCTGGGCATGATAGCAGCCACTATTATGCCGGGGCATGATAGCAGCCACTATTATGCCTGGGCATGATAGCAGCCACTATTATGCCTGGGCATGATAGCAGCCACTATTATGCCAGGGCATGATAGCAGCAACTATTATGCCTGGGCATGATAGCAGCCACTATTATGCCTGGGCATGATAGCAGCCACTATTATGCCTGGGCATGATAGCAGCCACTATTATGCCTGGGCATGATAGCAGCCACTATTATGCCTGGGCATGATAGCAGCCACTATTATGCCAGGGCATGATAGCAGCAACTATTATGCCTGGGCATGATAGCAGCCACTATTATGCCTGGGCATGATAGCAGCACTATTATGCCCGGGCATGATAGCAGCCACTATTATGCCTGGGCATGATAGCAGCCACTATTATGCCTGGGCATGATAGCAGCCACTATTATGCCTGGGCATGATAGCAGCCACTATTATGCCTGGGCATGATAGCAGCCACTATTATGCCGGGGCATGATAGCAGCCACTATTATGCCGGGGCATGATAGCAGCCACTATTATGCCTGGGCATGATAGCCACTATTATGCCTGGGCATGATAGCAGCCACTATTATGCCGGGCATGATAGCAGCCACTATTATGCCGGGGCATGATAGCAGCCACTATTATGCCTGGGCATGATAGCAGCCACTATTATGCCTGGGCATGATAGCAGCCACTATTATGCCTGGGCATGATAGCAGCCACTATTATGCCTGGGCATGATAGCAGCCACTATTATGCCTGGGCATGATAGCAGCCACTATTATGCCGGGCATGATAGCAGCCACTATAGTGCTGCATAATAGCACCACTATTATGCCTGGGAATGATAGCAGCCACTATTTGCCGCTGGAATGATAGTCACCACTATATGCCGGGGCATGATAGCAGCAATAGTGGCATCATAATAACCACTATCATGTCGGGGTATGATAGTAGCATGATAGTAACCACTATCGTGCCGGGGCATGATAGTAGCATGATAGTAACCACTATCATGCCGGGGCATGATAGTGGCATCATAATCACCACTATCATGTAGGGGCATGATACTAGCATGATAGTAACCACTATCATACCGGGGCATGATAGTGGCATGATAGTAACCGCTATCATGCCGGGGTATGATAGTAGCATGAAAGTAACACAATATCGCCGGGGCATGATAGTGCATCATAAGTAACCACTTCATGCGGGCATGATGGTAAACATGATAGTAACCACTATCGTGCCGAGGCATGATAGTACATGATAGTAACCACAATCATGCCAGGGCATGAATCCCTATAGTGGGGGATCATAATATAAACCACTATAATTCGTGCATGATGGGCATGATAGTAACCACTATCATGCCGGGCATGATAGTAGCATGATAGTAAACCACTATCATGCGGCAGGGCATGATAAACCACTATTGTGGGGCATCATAGTGGCATGATAGTAACCACTATCATGCCGGGGCATGATAGTAAGCCACTATCATCCGGGGCATGAAGTGGCATGATAGAAACCTCTATCATGCCGGGGCATGATAGTAGCATGATAGTAACCACTATTGTGCTGGGGCATCATAGTGGCATGATAGTAACCACTATCATGCCGGGGCATGATAATGGCCACTATCATGCCGGGGCATGAGAGTGGCATGATAGTAACCACTATCATGCCGGGGCATGATA